GGGTACCCTCCTTCTTCCATTTGAGGTGGGTCGGCGGAAATATTTTGCGAGATATAACGAAGACGGCGTAGGGCCCGCGGATCAACCAGTTGAGGAAGTCCGTCGCGAAGCCAGATTTCAGATGATGTCTCATGCGAAATGTTTGCCTCGCGTGCCCAGATCGCCCAGGAAGGTATCTTACATTGTTGTCCCTGATTGAACCACGTGTTTTCACGTGTCCAGGCCACCCAGGGGGTACTTAACATTGTTGCCCCGAGCTGGAACCACGTGCTTTCACGTGTCCAGGCCACGCAAAGGGGGTTGTTATTGTGGTCCCGAGCTGAAGCCATGTTCTTTCACGTGTGCTGGAGGCTTCAGGGGGATATCTAACATGGTGGTCCCGAGTTGGAATCTCGTGTTTCTACTTGTCCAGACCACCCACAGGGTGCACCTAAGATTGTGGTCCCGAGCTGGAGCCATGTGTTGTCACGTGTCTAGGCCACCCAGGGCGGGATCTAACATGGTTGGCCCGAATTGGAATACGTGTTTTCACGTGTACAGGCCACCCGAGGGTGCATCTACCGTGGTTTCCCCGAGTTGGATCTAGGTGTTTTCACATAGCCAGGCCACCCAGGGGGATATCTAACATGGTAGTCCCGAGCTGGAACCACGTGTTTTCATGTGTCCAGGAGGCCTCATGAGGCACTTTTCTGCGTTGAGATGTGTGCTCGGGGAGCGCATCTGACCCCCCGCGCCCCCAGGAAACCTGGAAGCCTCAGGAGGCCCCATGGCACACTTTTCTATACTGGGATCTGTGTTCGGGGAGCGATCTTCTGCCCCCCTCGAGCCCAGGAGGCCCCGGGAGGTTCTGTCTTAGCACGCGTGCTCGGGGAACGCATCCTCGTTGCCTAACGGGGTCCGCAGACCCTCGCTTTCCTGATCACATTGCCCTGCGACGTACTCGACCCATTTGCATCATGTGACAAGGGAAGTTGGCCCAAACTTGCCAGGATAATGACAGTGCAGGCGACGTTATATGTTGTGCAAGCTACGTGAGGTGCGCTCATGTGGCACGGTTCACAGGACAACAACAGAAGGACGAGGAGAGAGGGCCCAGGCTTGAGGAGGACATGGGGGCGGGAACGGAAGGCAGGACAAGGGCGCGCGGAGGGCCGAACCGTCAGCGCGGCAGCATCATAATGAAGGTGGCAGGGGGCAGAGGACGACGATGAAAGTGACGGGAGGAGACCGAAGAGTTTTGCTTTTGTCGGTAGCGCGCTAAAAATGCAGCGCTGCCTGCGCCATGACGCTTCGGCGCTCGACAAAATGATGAAACTTGTTTTCTGTTAGTGCAAGAAACGAGCGAGGCCTAGCTCGCCCGCCAGCTTCCCTGCTTCCTTCCTTCCTGCACTTCTCGGTGCGGGCGCTAAACGCTCGAAGGCGCGCCGCCAGTTTTGCGGGCTCTGGGTGGCGCCTCGCTCCGCTGATCCCCCCCAGCAACCATCGAAAGTGGCGACAGTTTCGCAGATCGCAGCCCCCCATGGATGGCGAGGTCTAATTTGTATTTGGGTGGTGCCTCATTCCGCTGAATCCCCAGCAGCCTTTGAACTTAACGACATTTTCGCAGATCGCAGACCCCCAGGGATGGCGAGGTCTAATCTGGGTCTGGGTGGTGCTTTACTCCGTTGGCCCGCCCTGCGGCCCTCGAAAATGGCGATGGTCTCGCAGATCGCAGCCCCCTTGGGATGGCGAGGTCTCATATGAATCTGCGTAGGACGTCATTCGCTGGACCCTCCAACAACCTTCGACAGAGGCGACAGTTTCGCAAATCGCAACCCACTAGCGATGGCGACGTCTGCTTTGAGTCTGGGTGGTTCCGCACTCCTCAGGACCCCCCAGCATCCCTTGAAATTGGTGGCAGTCTCGCAGATCACAGCCCCCCAGGGATGACGAGGTCTAATATGAATCCGGGTGGTTCCGCATTCCGCTGGCACCCCCAACAGCCTTCGAAAACGGCGACAATTTTGCAGATCGCACCCCCCCAGGGATGGCGAGGTCTAATCTGAGCCTGGTTGGGACCGCACTCCGCTGGCCCCCTAGCTTAGCAGTCTTTGAACGTGGCGACAGTTTCGCAGATCGCAGCCCCCCAGGGATGGCGAGGTCTAGTATGAGCTTGGGTGGTTCCGCACTCCGCTGGCCCCTCCAGCATTCTTCGAAAGTGGCGACAGTTTCGCAGATCGCAGCCATCCAGGGGTGGCGAGGTCTAGTATGAGTCTGGGTGGTTCGGCACTCCACTGGCCCCTCCAGCGACCCTCGAAAGTGGCGACAATTTCGCAGATCGCAGCCCCTTAGCGATGGCCAGGTAGAAGGCAAGCTAGCACGCAGGAGGGAGCGAGGTGAGAGGCAGGGTGAGAGACAAGCGGGCACGCAGGAAGGAGGCAAGCCGGCACGCGGGAAGGAAGGAAGTGAGAGGCAGGAGAGAATGCGAACGGGGGCGGGAAAAGGTGTGCGACCGCAGTGCTCTTTTCAAAACAAGAACCTAACGCAGGAGGGTTGGGAAAAAGAGGGTGCAGAGCGTTTTGCGCAGAATCCGTAACAATTAAAGAAGTGTGGAGACCCTCGAATTTTACATAAAATGAGCATATTGACTTTTTGCGTGCCCGCTCCAGGACGGCGCGCCCTGCGCGCAGGTTTGTCGAGGACGTCTCGGGCCCCGCGCTTGTTTTGGGCGACCCCAGATGCCCAGGTGGTTCTGGGAGTGCGGTCGAACCGTTATTTACGAGGGATCGTGGCCCTGGGAACGTGACAACACGTGGGTTCTTCAGAACGGGACAAGCGTGACAACATGTGGGTTCCTAACGCCCCCGAGCGGGACAAGCGTGAAAACACAAGGGTTCTTGACGTCCCAGGGCAGGACAGACGTGAAAACAAATGGATGCCTAACGCCCCAAAGCGGGAAAAACGTAAAATCATGTGGGTGCCTAGCGCCCCAGAACAGGAGAAGCGTGACAACAAGTGGGTTCCTGACGCCCCAGGGCGGGACACGCGTGGCAACACGTGGGTTCCAAACGCCACAGGGTGGGACGAGCGTGACAACTCACGGGGTGTTAACGCTCCCGAGCTGGACAAGCGTGACAACACGTGGGTCCCTGACGCTTCAGCGCGGGGCAAGCGTGAAAACATGTGGGTTCCCTGCGCCCCAGAGCACGGCACGCTTGACAACACGTGGGTGTCTAACGCCCCAGGCCGGGACAAGCGTGAACCCACTTGGGTTCCCTAACTCCCCAGAGCGGGACCAGCGTTACAACACGTTGGTGTCTAGCCTAACGCCCCAGAGCGGGACAGGCGTGAACACACGTGGGTTCCTAACGCCACAGTGCGGGAGAAGCGTGAACACACGTGGGACCAGCGTGTCAACACATGGGCTCCTAACGCCCAAGGGCGGGACAAGCGTGACAGCACCTGGGCTCCTGATGTCCCAGAGCACGACAAGCGGAAATCACGTGGGTGCCTAACGTCCCTGGGTTTCTGACGCCCCAAAGCACGGCAAGCGTGACAATGTGTTGGTGTCTAACCAACCAGAGCGGGACAAGCGGGACACCACGTGGGTTCCTGGCGCCACAGAGCGGGACAAGTGTGAACACAAGTGGGTCCATAACGCTTCGGAGCGGGAGAAGCGTGACAACACTTGGGTTTCACAAGCGTGACCACGTGGATTCCAATCGCACCAGACCAGGACACGCTTGACAACTCACGGGGTCGTAACGCCCCAGAGCGGGACAAGCGTGACAACACGTGGGTTTCTAACGCCTCAGAGCGAGGCAAGCGTGACAACATGTGGGTTCCTGGCGCCCCAGGGCACGGTACGCGTGACAACACGTGGGTCCCTAACGCACCCACTTGGGTTCCTAGCGCCCGAGGGCGGAAGAAGCGTTACAACACGTGGGTGTCTAACGCCCCAGAGCGGGACAGGCGTGAAAACCTTTGGGTTCTTAATGTCCGAGGGCAGGACAAGCGTGACAACACGTGGGTTCATAACGCGTGACAGCACAAGGTTTCCTGGCACCCCAGAGTACGGCAAGCGTGACAACACGCGGGTTCCTAACGCCACAGGGCGGGAGAAGCGTGAAATCACGTGGGTACCTAACGCCCCAGGGCGGGACAAGCGTGACAATACGTGGGTTCCTAACGCCCCAGGGCGGGACACGCGTGACAACTCACGGGGTCCCCCTGAGCGGGACAAGCGTGAAAACACGTTGGTTCTTGGCGCCTCAGTGCGGAACACGTGTGAACACAGGTGGATTCCTAACGCCCCAGACTGGGAAAAGGCCGCCCAAGGGGTATCCAACATGATTGGCCCGAGCTGGAGCCACGTCTTCACGCGTCCAGGCCATGCAGGGGGTATCTAACATGCGGTCGTCTGGCTCGATGCCGGAGCAAAATGTGAGGGTGTCTCGAGCGAGGGCTTCTGAACCGAATCGGATCTTGAGCTCCAGAGGGTCGAGCGACCCGCGCTTTTCGTTTGCAACTAGCCCAGGCTACGCGTTCAGGCAGCTCGAGCTTGAGATCCAAATCAGTTCGGTCAGAATTGACGCCAAGGACGGCTTGATCAAGAATGCAACAGCGCAAGGCACAGTTCAACGCGGCATGTCCCCTGGCACGCCCCCCTGGCAGTTCCACTGGCACGTTCCGTGACGTGTCCCTTGGCACGTCACTGTGCGGCACGGCATAGCGCAGAGCAGCACAACACAGCCCTTGGCACAATTTCATCACCAGTGATATCTTCAGCGTTGCCACTGCCCATGGCCCCATTGAGTTGTTCGGAATCGTTCCCATGCCTCGCAGTTCTAAATCTCTTTCTGGGTTCGTGGGTCGATCATGAAATTGCAGTTGGGATGGTTCTGCATTTGGTTGCGAGGGATGCGTCTGGTATAACATTAACCGAGCATCATCCGATCTGAATAATTACACGTATGGCAAGATCTGTCAGGAGGGCGCACCAACCCCAGCAGATCTGTCAGGAGGGCGCACCAACCCCAGCACCGTCGGCATGGGTATCACTTGGTACTGGAATTTGCTCAGGGCATGATCAGGATTGGACAAGTGCCGACGCTTTGGGGCCTCATTGGGATCTCCATCCCGGACTGGGCTGGCGCATGTGCGACGGAAGGTCTGACACTCAATGTCAACAGGTTTGTGATGCAACAGCAGGGTGCAGTATGATCTCGAACGGTGATTGCTGCTTCTTGTTCAAGGATGACGCATGTAATGCCGATGTTTCTCATTCAAATTACCAGTCTTACCTCAAGGAGCAGAGTGTCGAGCCGGCCACGACTACGACTACGACTGAGGACCTGACAGATGCGCCGCTATTTGTCTGCGATTTCGTGTGCGCGGAGGGGTATCTAACATGCGTCTGGCGCCTGTGCTTCTGGCGAGTGTTTTCATGTGTCGCGTCCACCCCAGCGGGATATCTAACATGTGGCCGTCGGGCTCCCCACACGTGAAAAGTACGCGCGCAGAGGCAGTATCTAACCTGTATATGTGGCGCCTGTGCAGGCACTTGTGCACTTGACACATGTTTCCATGTATCTACGCCACACAAGTGGTGGGGGGGGAATCTAACACGACGGCGTCGGCATCTTCGCACGCAGCAGGACGTGTGCGGGGGGTTCCGGGTATGTAACATGTTGTTGGTGCTTGTGCACTTGACACGTTTTCACGTGTCACGGTCACAGGGTATATATATATACACATACCACGCGGTCTTCGGACGGTTCGCTCGCATGAATCGCGAAGTGCGCACGGAGTATCTAACATGTTTCCAGCGCCTGTGCCGTTGGCACGTGTTCAGGTCGCCCAGGCGGGTGTCTTATTGGAGGATGAGTTGAGGATGTCTCGAGAGTTTTCGAGTGGGGGCCTTGTCGTCGTGCCGGTACGTTTCGTTTCGATTGGGCTTCGCCTCCCTCGTTCGGATCGTCTCACTTCGCAACGTAATCGGATCTTGACTTCGAGCTGGTTGAACGCCCCGCGTGTTTCGACTGCAACCTGCTTTGGGCGAACCATGCGCGTAGGCAGCCTGAGCTCGACATCCAGATCGGTTTGGACAGGACTGGGGTGCCAAGCACGGCTTGATTCACGACGCAACAGAGAACAGCAAAGTTCCACACAGCATGGCGCAGCACACTGCAGCACAGCACGGATCAATCGCAGTTCGCGCCGGGATCGCGGCCCTGGTTTTTTGCGAGGGGCATC